CATGACACTGGAAGGTGGCGAGCAGCAGGAGCAGAAATCAGGCTGACTTCAGACAATGCCCACTCTGTCTCACCTCGGCTCTGCAGCCGGAGCAGGAAGGCTCCTGTCATGACTCTGGAGGATGGGAACTCTACAGGTGCACGCCGTAAGTGAATGACGATGATAAGCGAGTGACTGAACGTTTAATTTCAGGCTGGCACAGCCATCACCGTTTCTGAACAGTATCTTCAGCTGCACATGCACGTGTGCAGCTGATTGACGAGGATTGTCCTTGGACACAGGCCATCAGGTTTTGAATTTTAGTCAAAAATCCAGCCCTGTTTAGAAAAAAAATCTTAAAACCACAAAATTACCCCGATATTAAAGTACTTTACACTACACATTAGAAAACATTGTCTGTTAGGACATCATTTATATATATTTACATTTAATGCCTATACTTTTTTTTATGTCAAGAGTTTTAAGCTAAGATAATTTATCGTTGAGAAATTGTGGCGTTAAAGTATTTTTGGTCAAATTAAAAAAATAAAATTAGGCACTCGTTGTAATGAGATGTTGCACAATTTGTTAACTCTCCAAGTCTTTGTTGTGTATGACTCTCAGCTACTACCTCATCAAATGTTAGCTCACTATCTGTAGAACTGACAGAGTTGTTGACCATCTTTGTGTTGGCTAAGATCAGTTGGTTGTGGCGGCCTTCTTGAATTGGATTAACTCCCAACATTAATTAGTTTTGCATTTAATGAATCCTTTCTGACAGTTTCAATAAAATATGTCCACTAGTTCATATTTTAATAAGGCAACAAATACACACAACCCACACACACACAGGCAAAAACGCAATTTTCACAAATAAATAAATACTCAAAAACAAAGTCAAATGAGACAACCTTCTCATATTACAGTACTTTAAAATTCAAATAGTGTTACATCGTATTTATTAAAATGCAGTGTAATTCAAGCTTATCAGGACTAAATGGTCTGTTTATAAAACTTTTGGCGCTTTAGCTTTGTTTCTAATCTAGGTTTTAAAACTGACAGTGACTTTAAATTAGAGATTGGTGGTTAAGAGCAGTTTTTATCACCTCAGGCAGCTGGCATAAGGTAAAGTCGATCCTCGCACATCCGATTCGTCACATCTTGGCTGGATTACTGTAACGCTCTTTACCTCGCAGTCAGCCAGTCCTCTCTCAGACATTGGTCCAGAGCGCTGCTGCTCAGCTTCTAACTGGAGTTCACGAGAGGGAGCACATCACCCCCACTCTGGCTTCACTCCACTGGCTGCCTGTTCATTTTAATAATAATAATAATAATAATGATGTCATCACAATGTCAGCACTGTATGTTTCCATACAATGGCGAAATTAGTCTCTGCATTTAACCCATCCACCACCAGGTGGTGCAGTGGGCAGCTATTGAAAGCGCCCGGGGGACATTTTGGGGATTAGACGTGCTGCCCAGAGACGCCACGTGATGTGCAGTGACTGGGGATCGAACCTGGGACTCTCGGGTCCCAAGCCGGCTGCCCTGCCTCTACACCATCTCGGCCCCATTTTAGTGCTGATTTTAAGATTATGCTCTTTGTTTTTAAGTTTAAATGATCTAGCCCCATTCTAGCTCTCTGAGCCCATTCTCTCCTGCTATGGGTCGAGGTGGAGGTGCCAAGGTCCAAACGGCTTTTTGGTTGCTGCTCCAAGATCATTGAATGATCTCCCTCTTCCCATCAGACGAGCCCCTTCACTGTCCATTTTTAAAACTCCTTTCAAAACACATATTTATTCCCTGGTTTTTGGCATAGACCGATACTTGCTCTGGTTTAGTTTTACTAGTTTTCATTGTGGGGGTCGAGATGGTGTAGAGGCAGGGCAGCCGACCCGGGACCCGAAAGTCCCAGGTTCAATCCCCAGTCACTGCACATCTTGTGGTGTCTCTGAGCAGCACACCCTATTCCCCGTTGCTCCCCGGGTGCTTCAATAGCTGCCCACTCCGCCACCTGGTGGTGGATGGGTTAAATGCAGAGAGCCAATTTCAACATTGTATGGGAGCATACCATGATGACAATACATACACATTATTGTTATTAATGGTTTAACTGTTTTATGTTTAAAAATTCTTGATTTTTCATGTACAACACTTTGTTGCAGCTGAGGTTGTTTTAAAGTGCTTTACTAGTAGTACATTATGTAGGGGGAGTGGTGGCACAGAGGCTACAGAAGATGGGCCTGTGATCAGAAGGTCGCTGGTTCAATTCCCCACACAGACAACATCAAAATGTGGGTGGGAAAGGTGAAACACCCACACCTGCCTCCACCCCCATTTGCCCCACTCTGGGCCCTTGAGCAAGGCCCTTAACCCCCATCATCTGCTCCCCTGGGTGCCCTTGATGGCAGCTCTCTGCTCCACACAAAGGGCTGTGGTAGCTCAGTGGTCCGTGGTTGTGTAAGGAAGGCATCTGGCGTAAAAACAATTGCCAAGTCTTTGTGCGAGTTAGTTCGCTGTGGCAACTCCTAAAAGAAGGGAGCAGCCACAAAAAAATAAATAAAATAGTAGTACACTATGTGCACTTTTCACCACTCATTCATTAATTAAGTGGCCAAAGGAGTTATCAATGCACTAACATATTAATTATATCCTGATTTTAATCCACAGAATCTGATTTTAGAATGAAATATACTTCATGTAAAACATTCTTATCAGAGAAATCAAGTAAAATGTATTTCATACATATAAACAATTATAAAAATCAAAGCCAAACAGATGTGAAATGTAAAAAAGATGTTTTATTGTTATATTCACCATGTCTATCAAGCTCCAATGCTTGCAATTCCAAACAAAACAACAAAAAGTAGTTTTTTCCTCTTTAAAATGGTATGATATGATATGATTAATCTTTCAGTTTGGAAATGCATTTATTTATGCTTTTAAATTTAATTTAATATATTTTGTAATTTTTATAAGAAAGTACAATTTAATGGTGAAAAAAATATACACAAATATACAAGTTTGTCAATCAGCAGTTGACTTAATTTTTGTAAAAAAATAAAATAAAATACTGGTACACAAAAGTTTATGCATCACTTGACAAATAAGCGATAAGAAACAATAGGGCAAAGTCACGTTTCTGCAATAAAAATTACAAAGAAATCTCAAGAAACATTTTTAATATCAACAACACATGTTCATCCAGTGGTTTTAAACAAGGATGTTTCTGTAATTCCTAAAATATTAAAACAAAATGTGCAAGTTTTAAAACACAAAATTACCATACAAGCAAATTTAAGCTGCAAAACCAAGTAACCAAACAAATTTAATTAGCAGGCAATATTAAATCAAACCTGAAACCCTCATCTTAAATAAAACCACTGAACTATTTAGTTTCCATATCTTTCCCTTCACATCTCATCATGTTGTTGTGCACTCATCTGTAAAATGAGCCACCCCCCCAACATCTTTTCTCTCTTTGTAAAATACCTCATTCATGTGGGGTGTAGAAGAGAGAGTGAAACATTCTTGTGGGAATTACTTAACTAGCAAGAACGCGTTGCAGCAGGATAATCCAGGCTGCCACCCGTAGACTGGAGCAGACAAAAGAGTATCATCAAAATGACAAAAGATTACGAGAGGGTTTAAAAGCCAAAGAGAGTGGTCAGATAAAGACTCTGAACAAGTTGGCCCAGGCCTTTAGTGTGAAGACAACTGCGGTGACATTAAAGACCCTATCTCACTGGGTTGGCAAACGGTATTCATGAGGGGGTCTCCAGAATGTCTCCTGAATGTCTCCAGATTGTCTTGTGACTTTCGTGGAGTTAACGTCCTCGGGTGATTTGCAGAGGCACAAAGCCTCGTCCTTTAAATCTTCAACACTTTTGAAAGTTTTATGCAACAACTTTTCTTTTGAAATCATTGTGGGCATAGCGGACTCGCCTCAAACTCATCTCTTGGCGTCAGCTGTTGTCTCCAGATCGCTAGAGCTCCATTTTGACTCGTGTATGGGAGCGCTCCTCTGACAGAAAAACATCGGAGGCGTTAGTCCAGGTCTAAAACCACACTGAACCACAGACCACCGAGCTACCGCAGCCCGCACGCATTGAGCAAAAGGCTGCCATCTAGGGCACCCGAGGGAGCAGATGAGGAGATAAAAGCCTTGCTCATGGGCCGAGAGTGTGGCAAATGAGGGTGGAAGCATTTGTGGGTGCTTCAAATTTCCCACCCAAATGTTACAACAATTAATGGATTTTAACTGACAACCTCCCAAACACAGGCTTGTCTTCTCTAACCTCTGTGCCACCACTCCCAAATCTTTATTTCTAACGAGTGCCTCAGCAAATTAAGTCATAAATGTAGGGGCAGCTGCTGAGGTGGGAATAAAGCAGGCCAAGGCAGGAAGTGGGTGGAGGTGGGCAACAGAATAATGTGCTCAGAAAAGAACATGATTTTTCAAACCGTACACATGAAAATGAATTGTAATTTTCAAAATCTGACCATTTAACAGTTCCAAACAGTTTGGCTAGGTTTCAGCTGAAATCTCAAATTCTGAAAATCTTGAGGAATTTTTTTTTGCACCAGCTGCAGCTCAGTGACATATCAGTGATGAGGCCTTAAGACTATGGTGGCCACAGTTAAAGACGAGATGGAGAAATGAGGACAGAAACAACATAAGCCTATTAATTATCTAGAAATCACCCTTCATATGGATACATAAAAGGGCAGATAAGTCCAAGAATTAAGCTGAAGTTCACATTATCTTCTGCAGAAGGATAATTTAGGGGGTGGAATTGAAAAAAAGATGTCATTTAGTTTACTTTCACAATGAAACGCAGGAGGAAATAAAAAGCAAGGCGAGACGAATAAGCAGAAACAAAGCAGCTTTGGTTCTTTGGTGGTGAGCTCGTTTTCTTTGGTCTCACACAGAGCTGAGGATGAAGAGCTTGGCAGGAACATTTCTGCTCAGGGTGTGAAGTCAAACTCTTGAGAAATTACCTCCATACACATTGTCCTGATTCTGTGACGTGTTCCCAAAGTTACCAGCTGCAAAAAAAAGAAAAAAAGTTTCTAATGAAGCACCGCCGAGCGTAAAGAGCATGTTTTCACATGAGCGCTGGAGCGCGCACTCTGGAGAGTTTGGGGAAAGATGGCATCATTAGGAGATTAACCTTTAAGTTATTTATGACAAGAGACAAGCACAATCTAGTGAAACTGTGGCTGGTAATCATCACAGTTAAAGCAAACCATACGACAGAATCATGCTCTGCTTTTTGTGCAACTCGCTTTCACAATCTAGGACAAAATGAGGCTTGAAGATGAGGCGCCTCCATGATGCTGTTGCTTGGCTGACACCATTTTTGTTGTGTTGGACAGCTATACACTTCACTTGGAGTCAGGATGAACTATTTATGGATAACATTTTGCCAAGTGGGCAGCACGGTGGCGCAACTGGTAGAGCTGCTGCCTCTCAGCGAGCAGGTCCTTGGTTCAAACCCCGGTCCAGGGGCCTTTCTGGGTGGAGTTTGCATGTTCTCTCCGTGCATGCGTGGGTTTTCTCCGGGTACTCCGGTTTCCTCCCACAGACCAAAAACATGCATGTTAGGCTGATTGGTAACTCTAAAATTGTCCCTAGGTGTGAGTGAGAGAGTGAATGGTTGTTTGTCTCTATATGGCCCTGTGATGGACTTGCGACCCGTCCAGGGTGTACCCCGCCCCTCGCACAGTGATTGCTGGACATGGGCACCAGCGACCCCCGTGACCCAAAAATGGAACAAACGGGTAAAGAAAATGGATGGATGGATGGATGGATTTTGCCAAGTTTCTTGTAATTCATCTCAAGGAGAAGCAATAAGTGCAAAGAAATGAATTCTGGTGGTGTGAAAGGTTGAAAATGTAGGTTTTACATGTGCATACATGGAGTTCAAACTGAATAGTTTCTAAAATGTCTAAATACAGAACAGTAGTCCCTCGCTACGTCACGGTTCGACTTTCGTGGACTCTATATCACGGTTTGTCAAAGAACATTAACATATTTTTTTTATAATAATTGTACAGGACACATGATTGCCATCTTTACTTTTACTCACATGATTGGGACAGTGCTGGATACTGTATAGTAAAAATTAACGATAAAATAAAATACTTTGGACAGGTGCCGCCATTTTGTAGTTTTTTCTCAATAAGCCTCCACAGTATTCCCATTCATAACGACCACATTTCCCAGAAGCCAACAGGGCCTCGCATAGAAGCTCTGTTTCCTTCTGCTGAAATACAAGAGGGAAAGTTTTGATCCGATTGGAAAAAGTTTGGCGCTTATTACAGTAACTTTGGCGCCCAGCGAATGCAGAGAAGCCGCACGGAACCCACCAAACTGGAGCAGAATCAGACCTCTAGACCCACTGGTGAATCTTGAGAGCTGGTAGCCGGCCCACGAGGACTTCAGAGCGGGACGTGCACCGCCAAAGCTCCAGCGCTCCATCCGGAGCTCACCAGGACTTTGGCAGTGCACGTCCCGCTTGGAAGTCCTTGTGGGCCGGCTACCAGACCTCCAGAACCATTGCTGAATGGTGAGAGCTGGTAGCAGGCCCACGAGGACTTCCAAGCAGGGACGTGCCGCCGAAGGTCCGGCGCTGTATCCGGAGCCCATCGGGACACTGAGCGGGGACAAACTGGTAAAATTTAGTAGCTACATATACAGTACTGTACGTATGTTGTTAAAATGATGTAAGTGTAAAAGTTTAGAACATTGCAAGAATGTGGGAAATGTTTCTAAAGCCTTTAAAAAAAAAAA